GGTCAGCAGTGTCCCTACCTGAGGTTCTGATCACTGGGAGGGGGAGCAGCCCTGGTGACTGTCTGCGGCAGCCTCAGGGAGAGGGCACTGTCCACAGGCGCTTGTGGAGCTGGGACAGCAAGGGGCAGCAGGAAGTGAAGCAACAGGGCAGGGCCTCAGAGACAGCGTCTGTCCCCTGCTGGACCCACGTCTCCTGGGTGAGGAGGCGACCCCGGGTGAGCAAGCCCCTGCATAAACTCCATCCTAGATAGACAGGGTCCACCTGCGGAGCAGGACTCCAGCGCGTGGGCAGGAGACCCCAGTGACCACTGGAGAGCAGGTGTCCTGGCCTGGGCAGCCACAGGAGCTCGTGGAGGGCAGCTGGGAGGCACAGCTGGGCACAGCACCCAGGCCGGCTCTGCCTGGGAACCCTGACCTGAGGTTCCTCAGAGACCAACCACGGGACTGGGGCGGCCCTGAGCAGTGACCAGGATGCAGGACGCGTGGCCCGTGAGCTGGGTCAGAGGTCTGGCCACTAGGGACAGGGGTGAAGGGCTGGGGCCACTGGGGATGGACCAGAGACACTGACGCCTGAGCAGGCTGGGGACAGGGACGGTGAGGGCTGGGGACAGGGACGGTGAGGGCTGGGGACAGGGAGGGTGAGGGCAGGGCCGAAGGCTGAGGATGCCCGCTCCACCCACATCCTGCAGCGTGGCCCTCCTACACAGGGACCACGTGTCCCGACAGCACCTCAGTGACAGAGGCAGTGTCCTGGTCAGGACAGCAGGCAAGGAGCACGCAGGCAGGGAGAGGCCAGGAGGGCAGGGCCAGGTGGACGCCAGGCTCCCCGAGCAGTGTGCGGTGTCACCTGGGCCTGCTCAGTGCCCTGCCCCACGTCYTGCAGCCAGGCTCACCGTGGTCATTGTGTCGGGCCAGGTCCTGCGCRTCGATGAGGAGGTCGTGGTCTGTGTCCAGCTCCCAGAACTTGCAGTAGATGACGTAGAAGTGCTCGTAGGAGAAGTACTCCGTGAGCTGGTTGATGTCCGCCTCCTCCTCCAGCAGGGCCACGTTCTGCAAAGGACCAGGAAGGGGCTGAGCAGGTCCTGAGGGGAGGAGCCTGCAGGGTGGGAGG